CCGTTATTTCACATTTTCATTTTTCTTTACAGTTTCGTATGTTATGCTTTGATAAATCCATAAAAAGTTGAGCTGAAATAAAACCAAGGCTAAAGCCATTATCCAGAGAGAGCCCAAGTGGGTTTAGTTAGTAGATGCTCCCATTGGAAACAAAGCCAACAATGTATACCCATTGAGTTGGCAATCCTAGAGACAACTGAAAAATAGACAGAACTGCAGGACGATTCATTAATCTTCAAGGTTTCTCCTTTCCAAAGAGAAAAAAAAAATTAATCTTAAGGAAAATCCATCCCTGGGATTCTTAAATTAGCAGCCTTGGGCTGCCAAATAAGATTTGTAATTAATTTCCCTCCTCCTCCTCCTGGCCCTCCCTCCCTACTCTAATCCTCTAATGGGTTTCCAAATGAAGGGGGAAGAGTTTTAATTACTTCAAGTCAAACTGGATTTTCATCCAGTTTGCAAAAAAAGGGTCTCTAATTTGGGGTGAAAAGTAAGTAGCACCTTCCACACCTCCCTGTGGTCGAAGAAGAAATTGCTGGACGCTTGCCAGTTGGATGGGGAAAAATTGCTGGAGGTTACTCAGGCATTTGCAACCGAGTAATTAAAAAGGGATAAAACATCTGGACGTGAAATTCTTTGCTTCTGCCGCATGAGCTGCTGCTGCTGTTTTAGGATTCCAGCTGTTGTAAATTTTTTAACATTCTGTCCCCCCCTCCCCCCCATCACCTCCTGCCCAGGAATAAATCCTCCAACCTGAGCCAAAAAAAAAAACCCAAACCATTTTGTAGGCTGGCCCATGCTTGCCAGCCATGTCCTCTGCTTTTCCCACCTGGAGAAACTTCTGCAGCCTCTCAAAGGGAAGAAGGCACCTCTTGGACCCCTGGATGAGAGCAACGAGGGTCCCAGAGTGTGGGGCACCTTCTGCTTGGATCAGGTGTCAACCCTGAAGTTCCTTTCTCCTCTCTCTCTCTCTCTCTCCTTCTCTCTCCTCCTCTCTCTCCTTCTGTCTCTCTCCTCCTGTGTCTCTCTTCCTCCACTCCTTCTCTCTCCCTCTCTCTCTCCCTCCCTCCTCTCTCTCTTCCTCCTTTCCCTCCTTCTCTCTCCTCTCTCTTCCTCTCCCTCTCCTCTCTCTCCCCCTTCTCTCGCCTTCTCTCCCTCCCTCCCTCCTCTCTCTTCTCCCCTCCCTCTCTCTCCTCTCCTTCTCTCTCCACTCTCTCTCTCTCTCCCTCCCTCCTCTCCCTCCCTCCTCTCTCTCCTCCCTCTCTCTCTCCTCCTCTCTCCTTCTCTCTCTCTCCTCCCTCTCTCTCCTCCTCCTCCTCTCTCTCTCTCTTCCCTCTCTCTCTCCTCCTCTCCCTCTCTCTCCCTTTGACGGGGATGGGGGCAGCACCCCAAAACCTCTTTAGGCAGGGGATGCAAAGGAGGGGAAAAGCCAGGTAGGAAACCCCCCCTCTCCCACAACAACCCACCCCCTCCCACCTGCCCTCCATCCTTCTTTCTTCGCCGGGCAGAGATGCGCTTCCAACCCCCCCTCCACCCCTCCACCCCCCGGCGGCTTACCGGCTCCGGCCAGAACCTCGGCGCGGGCGGCGCTTCGCAGCAGCTGGTAGTAAAGAGCCATCTCGGCCTCGGAGATGCGGCTGGGCGGCCGGACGGGCAGAGCCATCGGCCCGGCGGTGGGTCTTGCGGGGCGGCTGCAGCGGCGCGCCCGGCCGGGTTGAGTTGGGTTGGGTTGGGTTGGGTTACTCCGCCTCCACCGGTCCCTCCTTCCCCCCGCGCCGGCCCGAGGGCGGCTGGCTCCGCAGGGCAGGGAGTCCTGCCTCAGTTTCCCCTCCGGTTGCAGCGCCGGGGCGCACAGCTGGATGGAGAGCGGCGCCTCCTTCTGGCCTCTCCGCGATTGATGGAGACGCGGGGTTGGCACCGCGGTCCCCAAGTTTCCAGCGGGGGAGCCAAAGGCGGCGGGGAGACCCCCGAAAGGGGGTCCTGACCCCCCAAAGTCCTGACACCCCCCCCCAAAGGACGGTTTCTGCTTCCTGCGTGTCCCGCATCACGTCGGAACCGTCCACCCTCCATTCAAGGGACGAGGGTGGGCTTGGAAGGTGGGTTGCTTCATCCCCTGCGAGGGTCCCGGCTCCAACGTTGCGCGGCCGGCGACTTGCAAACAAGGAACCAGGAAATCGCCTTACAAGGAGTCGGACTGGTTAGACTGGCCTGATCAGCCCTTCTCCATCTGGGCGCTCTCCAGAGAGGGCCGGTGCTGCAGGCGGTCGGCAAGTCGAAGCTGGGCTGGCCGTTGGGGATTCTGGGAAGTGTAGTCCCAGCATATTTTGGGAAGCTTGCTGGAATCCGGTTCTCTCTCCCCTCCCCTCCCCTCCCCTTAGGAAATCCTTTTGGTAAGAGATGCAAGGCCAACAGCACAGGTCTCGCTAAAGCCAGTTTGGCAACCTCGGCCCCTTGAAGAGGGGTGGACTTCAACTCCCAGAATTCCTTGGCCCCTTTAAGTGGGGTGGACTTCAACTCCCAGAATTCCTTGGCCCCTTTAAGTGGGGTGGACTTCAATATCCATAATTCCTTGGCCCCTTGAAGAGGGGTGGACTTCAACTCCCATAATTCCTTGGCCCCTTCAAGAGGGGAGGACTTCAACTCCCATAATTATTTGGCCTCTTTAAGAGGGGTGGACTTCAACTCCCAGAATTCCTTGGCCCCTTTAGAGGGGTGGACTTCAACTCCCAGAATTCCTTGGCCCCTTTAAGAGGGGTGGTGGACTTCAACTCCCAGAATTCCTTGGCCCCTTTAAGAGGGGTGGACTTCAACTCCCAGAATTCCTTGGCCCCTTTAAGAGGGGTGGACTTCAACTCCCAGAATTCCTTGGCCCCTTCAAGAGGGGTGGACTTCAATTCCCAGAATTCCTTGACCCCTTTAAGAGGGGTGGACTTCAACTCCCAGAATTCCTTGGCACCTTTAAGAGGGGTGGACTTCAACTCCCAGAATTCCTTGGCCCCTTCAAGAGGGGTGGACTTCAACTCCCAGAATTCCTTGGCCCCTTTAAGAGGGGTGGACTTTCAACTCCCAGAATTCCTTGGCCCCTTCAAGAGGGGTGGACTTCAACTCCCAGAATTCCTTGGCCCCTTTTAGAGGGGTGGACTACAACTCCCAGAATTCCTCAAATCCCCCCCCACTTTATATGACTGTATGGAATGCAAGTAGTCCTCACCTCACGACCACAATTGAACCCCAAATTTCTGTTGCTAAGTGAGACATTGACTTTTTTCTCATTTCACGACCATTCTTGCCTCAGTCATTGAGTCAATCACTGCCGTTGTTAAATTAGTAACACGGTTCTGGTTTCCCCCTTAACTTGGCTGGTCAGAAGGTCGCAAAATGAAATCGTGTGATCCCAGCCGGGACACTGCAACCGTCATAAATGTGAGTCTGTTGCCAAAAGTTGGAATGTTGATCAAATGTTGACTGTGGGGATGCTGCAATGGTCGTAAGTGTGAAAAACGGTCATAAGTCCCTTTTTTCCGGTGCCATTGTAACTTTGAAGGGTCACTAAATGAAGTGTTGCTAAGTCGAGAATGACCTGTATGAGAAGGACTGACACGATTGCTGGGTAGCGTTGAATAAAGATTTTCCTGCAGTATCATCTCTTGCATTTCCCAAGATTCCGGGATTATTAGGAATTCTCGAAACCTTTTGGCATTTAAATTTGTTATGCCAATATCCGAAATAGAAGTGCCCTCTAAAAAATCTTACATTTTTCAATCCCAGCCACTTTTAAAACCTAGCGGAGGGCAACTTTTGGGATGTATGCTGGCTGGAGAATTAGAATTAGAATAACAGAGTTGGAAGGGACCTTGGAGGTCTTCTAGTCCAACCCCCTGCTCAGGCAGGAAACTCTACACCACTTCAGACAAATGGTTCTCCAACCTCTTCTTAAAAACTTCCAGTGTTGGAGCATTTACAACTTCAGGAGGCAAGTTCTTCCACTGATGAATTGTTCTCACTGTCAGGAAATTTCTACTTAGTTCTAGGTTGCTTCTCTTCTTGATGAGTTTCCACCCATTGCTTCTTGTTCTGCCCTCAGGTGCTTTGGAGAATAGCTTGACTCCCTCTTCTTTGGGGCAGCCCTTGAGATATTGGAACTCTGCTATCATGTCTCCCCTAGTCCTTATTTTCAACAAACTAGACATACCCAATTCCTGCAAACGTTCTTCATATGTTTTAGCCTCCAGTCCCCTAATCCTCTTCCTTCTCTGCACTCTTTCTAGAGTCTCCACATCTTTTTTACATCATGGCGACCAAAACTGGATGCCCTATTCGAAGTATGGCCTTACCAAGGCGTATTAAAGTGGTACTAACACTTCACATGATCTTGATTCTATCCCTCTGTTTATGCAGCCTAGAACTGTGTTGGCTTTTTTGGCAGCTGCTGCACACGGCTGGCTCATATTTAAGCGATTGTCCACTAGGACTCTAAGATCCCTCTCTCAGTTACTACTAGAATTCTGGGGGTTGAAATCCACAGAATTTCAACAATTTCATTGAAAACCACAACTCCAGAATTTCACCGAGTTTTGAAAAACACTGCTCTAAATAATGCAATGGATAAAGCAAAAGAAATTTGCTTTTATTCCAATCTGGGTTAATCGATTGCTCTGGATATCCCTCTTTTAATATCCCTCAAAATGCCAGCAAACTTTTAAGAGAGGTTTGCAAACTTGCTTGCTTACTCCGTTAAATTGTTTGTAAGTGTATCCTTAATTTGAAGTGATGTTGACTTCCCATAAAACAAGCAGGTAGATATTTAGATATTTCCACATCTGGATGTTGTTGTTTTTTTTTAACTTCACACGCATGACTTCATACCCTGCAACTTCACACCTCTGACTTCACACTTACCATGAAAAACAGTGGCTTGTACTGTATACAACATTACCCATAACACCCCAACAATACCCTCTCAAGCTGCCTTGGGTGACAAGAGGCGGTTAAAACTCATCATCAGAACATACCAAAGTTTATTGATCATTTCAAAAGAAAACTCAAAAAAATTGTAATGAAAAAAGAGCCGATTTGCATTCATAAAATTTAACATTCCACGATTATTGTATATAAAGCAACATGAAGATATAAAATCACAGTTGAAGTGATTAACGTAGTCCCGGATTGGTTTTTTTTTTTTTGCAAGCTGAAAAATGCACCTTAAAATCTTTATAGAATGTTTACACCCCAGTTCTGACTGCTCTCCATATATACACATCCTCTTTCTTATATACATATACATATATGTAAAAAAAAAAAAAATTAAGTTCCGGAGTTCGCAGTATGTCTGCTTCTTTTTTTACTAATATACCTGGAACTCGTATTTTTAAAATAGTTTGTAATACATATATGTATATTTATATAATTCTTCCTTCTGCTTTCCAGTTTGCAAAGATCCATTGCTGGTTTTGTCAGCTGATTACTATCAAACTGAGAACTAGTATCTTGAGCCTACAGAGGCACTGATACACGGCTGAATTTATGGTTATGATAGCTTACCAGGATATACAACCTTCAGTTAACCAACAAACCGGCACAGAAGAGCAGAATTCACACCCCAAGCAAACTTCATTATTTAACTTTAGGGCAGAAAAGTCAGTGCAACCCATATTGGAGGTGACAGAATCGTCCCCGATTGTGCCAAGTCAGAAGGAGCATCTTCTCCCACGCCACCACCCAATCTTCAACACGGTTTGTTATCTGGATGAATTACAAGCTTCGATTGAAACCAGCTTTCCTATTTTGTTTAAAAAAAAAAGGAGGGGAGTGGGGTTTGGAATGATGATTATGTTTGCCGTGATGTTTCTTTTAGTGGCAAACAGCAAAATTCTAGCTGGACCAGAATAAAGCAAAAAAAATAAAATAAAAATGCCAGTGTTTCCCCAAAGAGATGGGCAGGTTTTTCATCCAGAGGTCGTGGTTTTAAAAACTATATAATTGCATATATTTTTATTTTTATTTTTTTTGTCTGGGAAAAACGCCTTTCTATTTTTGACCCATCTCTTTTTTGGCTAGGAAGACAACTACAATGGCAACCGAATGAGCAATTTCTCCTGGCTTCGTTTGAACGAAAAGCTAATTCTCAAACTCCCAAGTATTATTGTTGGTGTTATTAAAACAACAACAACGATGACACACTTCCCTCCTGTTGCCCAATTAAAAATGGACGCAGGAGTGGTTTTCGGTTACAAAAAGCATCAGGGAATCATATAAACAATCAAGAAGACCAACCAAGTTTTCCCCCTCCTTTTTTTTTAAGTTGGAAAAAAATGTGGTTAGCTGACATCCTGCAAGCTTTTTCCTCCCCCCCCCTTTTAAAAAAAGAGCTATTTGGACTCAGGTTCAGGTCTCCATTGTTCCTTTGCAAAAAATAAAAATAAAAAAATAAGACAACAGGTTGTTCTTAGCTTGATAGCCTTTTGCAAGGTTGGGGGAAAAAATGCAGCTTATTTGTCAGCACGCTGAAAATGAGATTGCTCTTGGATGGTAGCAGTTGGGTGTATTTTGTTTCTGAAGGGAGGTGGCGGCAGAAAAATAGTTCATTTTGCCTCCATCTCAACCATAAGTATCTGCGTTAAAGACACCCCTAGTAATTTATCACATCCTTTGTTCTAAAGGGCTACACAGACCTTCCTCTGTCTGTGTCCTACTACCAACACACTTCTGAGTATCTTTCTCAGCCTTGCTTTGCTGGGGGAAGAACTGCGTCTACACATCCAAGCGTCAACTCTCCTTCGAAATCCAGTTTAGATCTCCCTTCCACCACGGCTCTCGTGGCCAAGAAACACTTTTGAGAAAATTCCACGTGCCACCATGGATGTCAGAAGGAGGGTTGTTGGTTTGTTGTTTTTTTTTTTTTTTTGTCATGCTGCAAAGGATTCTGCCAATTTGCCTGTGGATACATGCTTTGCTGCTCGGTCCATGCAAATAGGGATTTTGTGTTGTTGTTTTAGGTGCACCCAACGGTTTTACAGGGCACCTTAAAAAGGATTGTGTAAAGATGGCTTGTTCAGATGTGACATGCCTTGGAGAGAAAAAAAAATAAATCAACCGGGTTGGTCTTGATTAAGCTGCCCAAACTGGATTGCAGGAAACAGGTGAATGCTCTAATCCAAAGATTAAGGGAGATGAATGAACGGAGATTAAAGGGGGGATGGATGAACGGAGATTAAGGGGGATGAAAAGATGATTCCAGGGAGGTCCAAACGAAAGCAGGGTTGTTTGGGTTTAACACAACTCCTCTTATCAACCATATTGTCTCACGCGGGTGACCAAATAAATCACCTGATTCTTTCCTTCTGAGCAAAGTCTTAGAAAAATGGGGGTACCTTTAGGAACGTCACCCTTGGTCAATTTTTCACACTAAACGGTGACAAAACGTTGAAGTTGAGGAGCCCAGATGTTTTGCAAAGCAATGTGCTAACTTATCCAAAATGTATTGCTTTATCGGAACCTCCCACAAGTTTTAGAAGGGAACAGAATTTGCACAGCAAAAGATGACAAACCCACTGGCCATCTACCACTGGCCAAGTCTTGCATTCGTGATGTTCTACATCCCAAAAGTTCTTCCAGTGTTCCACAAAACCAGGATAGTCCAGTGGGTAAAAAAAAAAAAAAAGAGAGAGAGAGAGAGAGAGAGGGTTGAAGCCCAGGCACTTTTGACTCTTAAATGGACCTTGACTTGGATTGTGTGAAAGCTTCAAGCCAGAGGAAGGATTGCATTTCAAAAGAGGAGAACTTTCGGTGCATCTCATCAGCTTTCTGAGTTTTCCCCATTGTGTATGGGGTGGTTTTTTTTTTTTGTATTAAAAAAGTGGCTTTTATGACATCCTCGTTGGTGCCCTGCGGAGAAAGTTGAGTTAGCAGCCAACACGTCCATCCCTCATTTCCTTAATCGAACCGCTGAATTGGTTAGGAGGAAGAAAATAAGACGTAGTATTTCATGACCTTATTTTGTTGGTCAAAGAATGGAAATGCTGCAGGGAGGGGGGGGCTGCAAGGAAGCAGGCTAGACGAGAGACATAGTCCCACTTGATGCTTGCGAAGTGAGAATTAAAATCTGTGCTCTTTTTACTGGTTCAGAAGAAAAAGCCCACAGCTAGAAAATTGTCTTTTTTTTTTCCCTGCCTCGCCCGACAACTCGTTGCAAAACAGAAGCTGCGTCCTTCGTTCCAAAGGTCCCAGATCTCTCTTGATTCTTCATGATCCAAATGGACACTTGGGGTGCTCGGGGCTGACATGACGATGAGGATGGAGTGGTGGTGGGGAGGGAGGGAGGGAGAGAGAGATAGAGATCAACCACAGGTCTTCCAGATTCTGCACCGTTTTTTTTTTTTTAAAAGGCAGAACAAATCCATGTGCCTTTTTCTTTTTTTCTTTTTTGAAATGGCATCGTCTTCCTTTCGGGTAGGATGGACCATGACTCTTTGCATCACAAAAAAAAAAAGCAGAATTATAATCGTTGCATTTGAAATATCCTGAGATGGCATTCAGCCAGGTGAGTGAGGGTCTCTCGAGATTTCACTTCTGCGGAATGGCTGTTCTCTAGCTGCTTGTATGACACCAGCATCGGTAACTCCGAAGGGATGGGCTGTTTAAAACAAGACACACATACACAAACACAAACACAAACACAGGAGAAAAGGAAAGAGAGCCATTTAGACACATTTCTGCTTCTGCTTCTGCTGCTGTCACCGCAGTTTTTGCAAAGACACACAAAATGATCAGGTATTCGGGGTTGCAGCCAAGGCATATAATTAAATTTCTAAGACTTCAGGAGGAAAAGAACATGGTAATTTCCAAAGAAAAGGGGAAAAAAGAATGCCAAAAAAGGTTATTTTCCGTGAAAGAAGCGTGCAATCAATCTTCTGGGTTTTTAAACGAACGAGCATGGAGATTTTTTTAAACTTCTGGGCAAGGCTGTGCAGAGGTTTGAGGAACTAAACAGCTATAAACTTTTTCTAAGTGGTACTATAAAAACAGAAGCATTCACTTTCCCCACGGGTAGATGGTGAATTTTTTCACCAAGGGTTATATAAAATCAGAGAAAAAAAAACTAGGCTTAGTATGAAAACAATCCTATTTCTAGGAAATGCATTATTGGTGTTCAAGGTGGATGCATTAATAAATAAATAATCAAGTTTGCCAGGAAAGAGAAAGAGAGGGAGGGAGGGAGGGAGGGAGAGAGAGAGGGGGGGGGGGAGAGAGAGAGACTGTCATACTTAAAGGATGATAAAATGAGCTGGAAGCAGGGATTGGAAAACAGAGCAAAGCTGCAGAAATTTCTCAAGTAGCAAAACTTTTTACATGTCTAAGGCCAAGATCTACAACAGGTTTAATCTGAAGCAGCTAAAGTTACTTAGAAAGAAAAGAAAAGAAAAGAAAAGAAAAAGAAAGAAAGAAAGAAAGAAAGAAAGAAAGAAAGGGAGGGAGGGAGGGAGAGGAGGAAGAAAGGGAGGAAGGAAAGAAGGAAGGAAGGGAGAGGAGGGAAGGAGGAAAGGAAGGAAGAAAAAGGGAGGGAGGGAGGGAGGAAAGGAAGGAAGGGAAGGAGGAAAGAAAGAAAGAAAAAGAGAAAGAGGGAGGGAAGAAGGAGAGGAGAGGAGGAAGAAAGGGAGAAAGGAAGGAAGAACAAAGGGAGAGGAGAAAGGAAGGGAGGGAAGGAGGAAAGGAAGGGAGAAAGAAAAAAGGGAGGGAGGGAGGAAAGGAAGGAAGGGAAGGAGGAAAGGAAGGGAGGAAGGAAAAGAGGGAGGGAGGGAGAGGAGGAAGAAAGGGAAAAAGGAAGGAAGAATGAAGGAAGGGAGAGGAGGGAGGGAGGGAAGGAGGAAAGGAAGGGAGAAAGAAAAAAGAGGAAGGGAGGGAGGAAAGGAAGGAAGGAGGAAAGGAAGGGAGGAAGGCAAGAAAAGAGGGAGGGTGGGAGGAAGGAAGGGAGAGGAGGAAGGAAGGGAGGGAGGGAGGAAAGGAAGGAAGGGAGAAAAAAGGGAGGGAGTGGGGAGGAAAGGAAGGAAGGGAAGGAGGAAAGGAAGGAAGAAAGGAAAAGAGGGAGGAAGGGAGGAAGGGAGAGGAGGAAGGAAGGGAAGGAAGGAGGAAAGGAAGGAAAAGAGAGAGGAAGGGAGAGGAGGAAGAAAGGGAGAAAGAAAGGAAGGAAGAAGGAAGGAAGGAAAACTGAGACTCCTCAGATACAGTTAGCCATGATCCAGAGATCCTAGATTAAGGGTTGCTCTGAAGCATAGTTGTTCGGAAGAGACAAAACTTTTCTGTATTATTAAATTCAACGTCTATAATAAAATAAGAAAATTAGGCAGCATGTTTCATGCCACACTCAAAGCAATAACCTCATGGATTTCATCATGTTCCTTTCCTCTGCCAACCTTTTTATTTATTTAACCTTAATCCTGGGGAGGAGCAGGTGGTACGCAATTTATATAACTTATTCCTTTATTCTTCTCCTCTTGGATAGATCATGTAACCCGAATGCGTAAGATGGAAATCTTTAAGGGGTGAGATGCCCCGTTCGTATCTACTAAGAAAAAAAATTTGCAGCTGAGTTCCAATGTCACCGCTTTGGCATTCTTTTCTCTTAATTACGTGAAAGTAGTTAATTCAGAACAAACTCTCGATTAAAAGGCAATGGGTGTGAAATGAAAAATGGATCTAAAGCCATTTTTCATTTCGTTTCTATATAAGCTACCAGCAGGCAATCAAACCAATTTATATTTAGCTCCTCTTAAGGTAGACCGGTAAGTGAACCCCAAGAGGATTCAGACAAATTGATTATGTCCTAGAAGGACAAAAGCTAAAATCAATTAATGATATGTTGAAATGCTCATTTTTAGCTTGACTGACATCGTCTTCTTTTAACGACCCCATAATCCCTTGCGGGGCGGAGTCTGGGCAACTGAATGGAGCTGAGTGTTTATCTGGCCAGATGCCCTTCCTGTCACCAATGCGGAGTTATTTTTTCAGCAGATATATTCTCAGTGCGCCCAGAGAGAGAGAAATATCTGCCTCTACTGAGGATCGAACTCACAGCCTCCTGCTTGTAAGGCGAGAGCTCCACCTCTAGGCCACCGCACCTCTCTTTAGCTTGACTGACATGTTGACTTTAAATTGGACACGAATCTAAACCCTGCATTGCTTTGTTAAAACGAACGTGGTGCCTTTGACTTCGGGAGGGTTGATTCCGCACGAGTTCATCCTCCCTCAAATGTACACCTTCTCTGAATTTGGATGGGAGAACGTATCCAATGGACCTCCCTTCTTCTGATAGGATGAAAAAAAGAATTGGGTTGTGGGATTTAGCTCCAGCACATCCAACGGCACCATAGATGCCAAAACTCCCAATAGTTATTACGTACTTCTGTCCTGGGGTAATATTTTTCACCATTTGGTCCAAAATGATTTCTAATGGAATCTTTCACATCTACCCTCAAGAGTGCAGATGTCTAGCTCAAGATTGTCACAATTTTGCGAAAAGCAGCTACAGGTATGGTAGGACCAAGAAAGTCAAATAATATTTCCAGACTGGATGTCAGTTTGAACCCCTTCCTTCAAAATAACAGAAGGAAGAACGAATTGAAAAGGACCTTGGAGGACTTCTGGTCCAACCTTCTGCTCAAGCACAAAATCCTATACCATTTCAGTCCCATCTCTTCTTAAAAAGCTCCAGTGTTGGAGCAACTTCAACCTACAACTTCAAGTTGTTCCCCTACTTAATTGTTCTGTCAGGAAATTTCTCCTTAGTTCCAGGTTGCTTCTCTCCTTGATTAGCTTCCATCCATTGCTTCCTGTCCTGCCTTCGGGTGTTTTGGACAATAGGTTGACCTTCTCTTTTTTGTAGCAGCCCCTCAAATATTGAAAGACTATCAGGTCACTCCTACTCCTTCTCTTCATTAGATTAAGGTAAAGGTAAAGGTTCCCCTCGCACATATGTGCTAGTCGTTCCCGACTCTAGGGGGCAGTGCTCATCTCCGTTTCAAAGCCGAAGAGCCAGCGCTGTCCGAAAACGTCTCTGTGGTCATGTGGCCGGTATGGCTCAAAGCCAAAGGCGCACGGAACGCTGTTACCTTCCCACCAAAGGTGTTCCCTATTTTTCTACTTGCCTTTTTGACGGGCTTTCTAACGGCTAGGTTGGCAGAAGCTGGGACAAGTAACGGGAGCTCACCCCATTATGCGGCACTAGGGATTCGAACCGCTGAACTGCCGACCTTTCGATCGACAAGCTCAGCGTCCTAGCCACTGAGCCACCGCGTCCCTCTTTCATTAATCATTAATTGCATTCATCAAATTAATTAATTTCATTAATCTAATCATTAATCATTAATTAATTAAACAATTGTTAGATTAGACATACCCCATTCCTGCAACCGTTCTTCATACGTTTTAGCCTTCGGTCCCCTAATCATCTTTGTTGCACCTTGATTTAATTACCTTGATCTCTTTGATTCATTTTGATTAGAGGTAGCAAAACTTTGGAAAGACCATGTGAGCACGGTCAACTGGCGTCTACAGGACCAGAGGAAGAGGGAGGGTTGAGGAACTGGTGTAGAAGGCAAACATTAAAAATATAAGGTGGGGCCTATAGCAAAAAAAGTGGACAATCACGTCCCTTGAACTTCTGAGCCCTTAGCAGAACACGTCCATCCTTCTGAAGCCAATAAAATCCCCTTTTTAATGCGTAACCCAGGGGTTGCAAAAACTCAACGTGGGTTTTGAGGCTCTCCATCGCGCCATACGAGCCCACATGAAACCAAACTTTTCCAATATTAATTTTTATTACAAACTTAGGGCAGGCGATGTACTCGTGTTCTGCTAGGCTAAAACAGTATCACGATGGCAGAGATTAAAGAATCACATCCAGGATCGTCTCTAGAATTCTGCTGATTCCAGGAATCACGGGGTTATTTCCATGCCTTCCAGAGCATTGTTTGGGAGAAGGGGGGGAATACCTGTTACGACACATTAGATGTTTCTGAGAAGGTTCTTAAAAGCAGAGGCCTGACCGAAGGTCTGGGGGCTGGTGCTGAGTCCTTTGCAATTTTCCTGCGGGGTCTTTTCTGCAAACAGCGAGGCAAAAATAAAATAAAGGATATGAGCGGGCATTTCTGTTTTTAAGTTAGGGAGGTTTAGCGTTGAAAAACACATTCGGTTCCTCAGCGTGAAACTAAGAGGAAGTAAAAAATGCATGGTTAAGGAAAAGAGAAACCCCACAATGATGCTTGAAAGAGATTGACCCAGGGGTGAAATCCAGCAGTTTCTGACAGGTTCGGGAGAACCGGTAGCAGAAATTTTGAGTAGTTCGGAGAACCGGCAAATACCACCTCTGGCTGGCCCCAGAGTGGGGTGAGAATGGAGATTTTGCAATATCCTTCCCCCAGGAGCGGGGAGGGAATGGAGATTTTGCAATATCCTTCCCCCAGGAATGGGGAGAGAATGGGGATTTTGCAGTATCCTTCCCCCAGGAGTGGGGATGGAATGGGGATTTTGCAGTATCCTTCCCCCAGAAGTGGGGTGGGAATGGAGATTTGGCAGTATCCTTCCACTGCCACACTCACCACACCACACTAATCAAGCCATGCCCACAGAACCGGTAGT